CCTCCTGTATGTGTGTGTGTGTGTACCCTCCTGTACGTTCGAACTCATGTACACGTTATTTTTGTTAAATGACCATTCCTATTACGCGCACATCAATAAAAACAAGGCCTTGCAGTTTGGAGAACCAATATGAAATTGCTGTGCGTTCTCTCTGTCTGTTATCCACTTCTTTGTCGTAGATTAGATTAGATTACCCCGTGGTTCGTAATAGGTCGATGTGACGAGGACGAGGGAGGGGGGGGGGNTCCAATATTTTTTCCACGACGAGATTGAACAGGGATGGAAATATATAGAGCACCCTTAACGAACGACCTGCTTCTTACTTGATTAGTTGCTTGACCAACACGGCCAAGAAGATAGTTACCCGCATTTCTAAGGCTCGAGCAACGTATGTAGGATTGAAACACCTTCGGCGTAGGCACGACGTTTCACTGAATTTGAAAGGTCGTGTTTATTGGGCTACCGTTTGTTCCTTTCTGATCTAGTGTTGTGAGACCTTGAATTGGCGAGCAGGCGATATCCATCGACTAGAAGTTTTCAATGATCGGTGCTTACTTAGTTTTGCTCATGTGGAGTGGAGCGAACGGGTCAATGATGTAGAGGTCAATCATCTTGTGACTGAGTTTATCGGGGATAAATTTAATTGTTCGTCGAATTCAGATTACTAGGCCTCGCTGGCTGGGGCACGTTTCAGGCATATTGAATTTGTCTGCTGTATCGCGCTTTATTCGCTATAGCTGATTTAGGCTGGAGGGAACCACGTTGCGGTCAACTTATTCTTTATTTTCACACGTATGAGGCCAGCCATATACCAAACAAATCACGGTGCAATCAATCTTTATAAAAAAAAGGTTCGTGATTTCCTCGGGGGCACGATACTGCTAGCTTGCCCAGGCCAAAGGTGAATTTTCTTGGGGAGTTTACAACTGAAGCCTTCAGCTAACCAAAACCTAAACCCACAAGGCAGCGGGGCGTTGTGTGGAAACCACTGTCTATCGGGTAGCGGTATCCAGGTCGTCGGACCAAACTA